TCCTAGTGGTTTTCTTCCCAGCGATCTTTTTGGAGATGTCCCTTCTCCCCAGAAGCCCCGTCAGGAAAGTGTTGCTGGCGGGAGCCTCAGCCCAGCGCTCAGTGGCCAGAATGGACGGAGATGTGATCATTGGGGCCCTCTTCTCGGTCCACCACCAGCCTCCCGCCGAGAAGGTGCCCGAGAGGAAGTGTGGGGAGATCAGGGAGCAGTATGGCATCCAGAGGGTGGAGGCTATGTTCCACACATTGGATAAGATCAACGCGGACCCGGTCCTGCTGCCCAACATCACCCTGGGCAGTGAGATCCGGGACTCCTGTTGGCACTCCTCCGTGGCTCTGGAACAGAGCATCGAGTTCATCAGGGACTCTCTGATTTCCATTCGAGATGAGAAGGATGGACTCAACCGGTGCTTGCCTGACGGCCAGCCGCTCCCTTCAGGCAGGACTAAGAAGCCCATTGCGGGCGTGATCGGCCCGGGTTCCAGCTCCGTCGCCATTCAAGTGCAGAACCTGCTCCAGCTGTTTGACATCCCGCAGATCGCATATTCCGCCACCAGTATCGACCTGAGTGACAAAACTCTGTACAAATACTTCTTGAGGGTTGTCCCTTCTGACACTTTGCAGGCAAGAGCGATGCTTGATATAGTCAAGCGTTACAATTGGACGTATGTCTCTGCAGTCCACACGGAAGGTAGGCATTGCATTGGGGAAAGAAAGGTACCGAAAAAGCCAGAGCATTCATTGCATTATGTGTGCTTGGGATAACGGTTTCTTCCCTTTTTATTTCTAGCTCTGTGGGAAACAGACTGCTCTTCTCAGTAAACGCCCACCCAGGCATTGCCTTCTATCCCCATTCTCCTATCTTAGAGTGTAGGAAAACTGCGTCCCATCGTGTATCTGGGGAGAATAGGAGCCTAAAAGAGGCTAAACTCTCCATGCACAGTGTCCAACTGTAGATTTTGGACTTGCGTATTTGCTTGCCCTCATTTTTCCGAGTTCATGTTTGGAAGACGTATTTGCCCAAGGTGTTATCCCACTCTTAAGTGACTGGCTCCGATTTTCTCAGCTTAATAGACTAATCCAATGTGAGCAATTAGGAAACAAAACAAAACAAAACAAAACACAAAACGCTGTCCCCTACCTTGGTACTGAAAGCTTGTTCTTGTCTTGAACAGCTGAAGGTGCTTCTTTGTCCTAGTGTGCCCCTTCTTAAACACAAGACTTAACCTGTGAGTGTTGGATTAATGCACTCACTTCCCCCAGTATATCAGAGACTTATATTTTAAATTCTCGGGTGCCTTAAATATAAAGGCAAAGTAAATCATTTATTTATTTTCTTCCTACCACATATGTTAAAGTTATCCACCTGTCCCTACACCCTCCAAGAATTACCTAGTTTTAGGAGAAATAGCACTAATGACCTCTTGGATTGGATTTGAGTTTTGGTTTCTAGTCTTTTCTTGTAATACAATGAATTTGCTCATTTGAATTTAAAGTTAGACCAATTATAAATGACGAATGACAAGAGAGTAGATATCAGGTTTAAAATGGCTTTTAAAAATAAAGTAGGATTACCTAAGGTTAAACCTTTGACATTTACTGAGTCTTATAGACATGGATTCTCAAAGAACTTCTTATATAAAGATTTTCTTGACTCTNTCCAAATTCTCCAAGCAGACCCAGGTGAGCAGACACCTCCCGGCGACGAAACCCACTCCCAGTTACAGACAGCCCCAATCTATGGGATTTTCCTCCCGGGGCACCCCCGCTTATTCATTTCTGTTCGTCCTGCATCCCAGGAAGCGTCGGGACCCGGGAATGCCAGGGTTGTCTTCCTCCTTGTGCCTGCCTCGCCTCCTGCGTTCTTGCTCCGCACACGGCGCCCTCAGCTCCTTTCTCCTCCGACTCTCACCTTGAGAAAGGGAGCCAGGGAGGGACGAAAGAGGTAGTCAACTTCAGCCTCACAGGCGGCTGAAATTTGGCGCCTCTGTCCCCCGAAGCGGTCAGGTTTGAATTTTCTTAAGGGAGCACTGGCTGCAAGGCGAAGAGAATGAGGATGGAAGGGTGGTGAGGAGGTGAGGGGAGGTGTGTGGGTGTGTGTGTATGTGTGTGTGTGTGTGTGTGTGTGTGTGTGTGTGTGTGTGTGTGTGTGTGTGTAAAGAATGCAGGGAGAATGGTTGAAAAAGCGAAGTCGGGGGCGGGGGTGGGGGATGTCCAAGCATTGGAACTCGCCTGTCAGCGCAAGGGCTCCGGCCCCTGCGGGAGACTGTCCGTAGCTGGACCGAGCCCTGTCCAGGGTTCTGAAGGCGGCAGGGCTGGGCTGCCGCTGAGAGCAACCCGGAAGCTGCCCTGCGTTCCCATTCTAGCAACTGGGCACAGCCAAAGGTCCTTATTTAGGCGAATGCAGCGGCCCTTCCACCCTCTCCCTCCATCCTCCTTCGTGGGGAAACAAGTTACCTTATCTGCACCCTTTCTCCCTGAACGTCTACTGTAAGCCTGACTTCTTGGTGGGCGGGAGGAGGGAGGGGACGTACCGAACTCCGACAGGCTGAGACTTTACCAGGTGTTGCCTTAGTAACTACTATGGATGTCCTTAAGCTGGCAAATTTATATTCACCACTTGGGTTGTACCGTAGGGTCTCTTCAACCCCTCAAAGTTAAAGGTGCACTCCTTGTTCACGTTCATTTTGAAATAGCGCTCCCACCTTTGAAAGAAAGAGTTTGCACATTTCTTTTGGAAAAAAAGTTGATCTTTTCAAATCCTGCAAGTGCTCTTAAGGGGAACGACCTAGCTCCCGCTCCCTTGTCCTTCCCCTCCCCCTCAAGTCAGTACGCGTAATGAGTATTCGGGGACCGGGAAGAGGCTTGAGGCTGCAGGAGGGGGCAGGTCGGCGGGTCTCTGCGCCTCCCAGCACCGACGAGGACACTGGGAACAGGACACATCGCCTTGCGCCCTGACCAGAGCTGCCTCCCAAGTTGTCCCTCCCGCCGATATCATGATGTGCTGAAATGAATTGGACCGGGCCACTATTAACATCACTGACCCTTGAGTTTTGACACAAGTGATACGGAGCTTTGATTTTCTTCCTCTCTTGTCGGCAGCTTCCAGCTCACCGCTGCCACCACGACGCCCTCTGTACCCTTGATCAGTTTACCTTGGTGCACCGGTGAGGAAGGGGGAGTCGAATTCGCCTAGAAACGCCTCCAGGGAGTGGAGGTGATCGTGGAGGACCCGGAGG